ATCTTGACCTAATGTATGTCTTGGATTGATCGATCCCGATCTGGACTTACACCGAAGGGCAGCCGCAGTTCGCAGTGCTGCATACGAGGTACCATGCAATGTTCTTTACATAAGGTGGATAGGAAAGTAAACAGAGTGCGCCTACCTGCCTTGACATAAGGTGCATTATGTAAGGCTGGAGAGAGGTGTCAAAGGCAGGAAAGGAGACACGAGGGCAAGTACGGATGCCCCGTTGTAGCTTCCCGATCACGATCGTTGTTTGGTGGCAGCATCGGGCTCGTCAGTCACGGCATTGTGGGAGTTGCCGATAGAGCACCTCAGTCTGATCCTCCAAATCACGCAAAAACTCTTACCCCAGATAATCGGAGTAACCACTAATCGTTTCTCCTCTGTCTCTCCGTGGCTGTCAATGCCTTCAGCCTTTTTGTCTGTGCCTCTCGCATCTGCATCGCGACTGGACTATGGAGAACAAAAATGCCACACAGACCGGCGACAGCTGACGCCGCTGGCACAAGTCGCAATCGAAAGGCTAAATCGAAGCTCGGATTGCGCTACTTTGTCTGGGCATTTATTGATTGAAGACCTACGCTCCCCACTGGCAGGCTACCTTCGTAAGTGAAGCTCGACCGAGGAGCTCATGTGTTAAGTAGGAATTCCCATGGTTCATGTGCACTGCACGCAATGCCACATAGCAGCAGATTCGCTCCCATGGAGCACTCCACGCCCAGTGCCGATATCAACATCAACCCAGCTCCGACCACGCAAACAAGACGATCAATGATGAATTTAACCCCATAAAACGCGTCGTTCATCGAGACTTTCATGGAGCTGCCTACCTACCTACCTTGCTACCTTACCTCATGGAACCCCATTTGCCCGTGGTGCCACTGCGGGCTGGCCCCTTCTATGGTAGGCAGGAACGAACGCCATCTGCCCCTCTGCTCTTGACGTCATGATGTCTCGCCCATTTGCTGCTCTGCAGCTCAAGCTCCCTAACCTCCGCGCGACCGACACTGCGACCCGTGGTCACTCGGCCGTCGCTCAGTCACTAGCTAGCTACCCTACCTTAGGTAATTCCTTTTGAGACCTTTCCCAACGTGCTTTTTCGATGATGAAATCGGTCGTGCCTGGCTGCACGTAGCTACAGCAATGAGGTCAGCTCGCCTGAGGGGCCGCCCTAGGTAGGAGGGGGTTCAAATACTCCTTCTACAAGAACCTCCCTCGTGCAACTCAATGTCTTCTCCTGTACTTTTCTCACGATCCATCATTCGGACTGTTCAATTCAATCGACGCGTTCAATCCCATTCAAGACTAATCAATCCTCCCAAAACCACAAACAAACTCCCAAGAACCCCTTTCATCATGTCTTTCTCAAACACTTCCACCGGCAGCAAGCCCGCCGATCCCTATAAGGCAGCCAACCAGGACAACGATGTCTCCGTCAAGGATAAGGTCGAGGCCTTTGTCAGCTTCGCCGACAAGACCAAGTTTGCCATGATGACCACCAGAGATGCAAAGTCTGGCGCTCTCGTCTCTCGCGCCATGGCTCTGGCCGCAACGGTTCGTTTCCTACCCTGACGCCTCTCACGAGCTCTTTCTTTCTAACATCTACCCAGGAAAACGGCGGCATTGATCTGCTGTTCCACACCAACACCGAGTCCAACAAGACGGATGAGATTGACAGCGATCCCCACATCAACATCTCCTTCATCAACAGCTCAGGTGATTGGGCCTCCGTCTCTGGTGTCTCTAGCGTCATTACCGATCGTTCGCTGGTAAAGAAGCACTACAGCCCTGCACTCAAGGCGTGGGTCGGTGACCTCGGTGACGGCACCCACGACGGCTCTGAGAACGATCCCCGCATCGGTATCATCCGCGTCAAGACCGTCAGCATCACCTATGCCCTCAGCAACGCTACCTTCATCGGCAAGGTCGCCCAGCTGGCCGAGGGTGTCGTGACCGGCAGCCCGGCAAAGGTCAATAAGTTGAGAGAAGTCTCCTCCCAGGAGGTCGAGCAGTACCGCTCAGCTTCCTCTTGAGCTAAGATGCGTAAGAGTTGTAATAATGGCGGCGGCATGTAATAATAGCACAAAGTAGATGAAGGTTATCGGCGGAATAAGCCGCAAAACCCCGCCCAGTCACGGGATATGAATGACGATTATTGCTTCCCATAGTCCGCAGCCCAGCTTTTGTCAAACGTCTCAGTGTTCACTGCAAACTCGCGAATGTAGTCGCGCTCCAGCTCGTGTGCCCTTCTGCCGAGCAGAACCATGCTGTGAAGCGGACCACCCAGGATCTCATCCGTATCGCACAGCTCCTTCAGCGTGCCAGCAACATACTTCTCAGTCTTGCCTCCCACGCGCGCCGCTCCAATAGCCAGGCTATCAGGCGTATACACGCCCTCCTTCTTATCCTCTTCAATCTCGAGCATCTGCGCAGCGCACTGTCCGACAGTCATGTACCGAGGCGGCTGGTAGACCCTCCGTCCCCTCGCCATATCTTCGAGGCTCTGCTCCTTGACCTTGATGTCGAGCAGAACGAGCGTGTGCAGACCGATATCGCGGTTCTCCTTAATGCGGTCGTAAAAGGAGGCCGGCTTCCAGGTGTCGGTGAAAAAGACCATAGAGACGGTCTGGCCAAAGTTGTAGAGCTGCAAGCCGGTGGCGCCGATGCCGGACATGATGGAGGCGTTGGGAACGGTGGCGACGGGGATGGAGAGCTCGCGGGCGCGGAGGACGAGGTCGGTGTGCGTTGTCGCGCCAAAGGGATCGCCGACGACGCAGAAGGCTACATCTTCGGTTTGGGCGTCGCGGAGGATCTCGTCGCTGTTGGATTCGACCATTTCGCGGTCTGCGACTACGATTTCGCGGCCGTAGTAGGCTTCCTAGATGGTTTGACGCAAGTGTTAGAACTATTCTCTTTCCCGATGACAGGTTTTGTCTAAAGGACCAGGCGCACCAAGACGGCCTTGTCGACGAGAAGGATGCTCGTGTAGGCTTCAAGGTAGACTCGTGAGGCCTTCTTGACGACTTCGAGGCCCTTGACTGTGATGTCGGTCTCGTCGGAGAGACCTAGTCCTACGAGGTACAGCATTCTGGCGGTTGTTCTTCTGCAACTTTCCGAGGGGAGTATTGGCGCGTGCTCGAATATCTGGTCACAGGCAGTCGTTCAATAAGTATGAAAATTCGTCGAAGTTGGGCGTAACTTTTTTCTTCCACACCTTGGAGGGGGAATTGGATGGAGGGGTAGGTATCTTTTTTTTTTAGCGCTACAACCCCACCATCGCACCCCCTGGACCCTGTCTCGCCTGGCCCCTCCCAATTCTGATCCCCAACCCCTGCAGCCTCACTCGACCCCAGCTCGTCTTCCCAGGCTTTAAATTTCATCATCGAACGCGTCTGGTCAAGCTCTGTAACCATCAACCACGCTATTGCTCGTCGCGAGTCCTGCCCAACAAACAAATCCGACTTGGACTTTTTCGACGTATCTCCCCTCTTCAGATCGCGAAGCTGCCGACGAGGAGCACCGTCACCAAGTACCTACCTCCACAGAGAACCCAGCCACGAAACCCAAACAATGGCCGACAAGAAAGCAAGCGCCTACGGCGCGCCTGCAGGCGACACCGACTTCCGCAAGACCTACGACCTAGACGAATACGCAGCCAAAGCCAAAGACCGCGAGGCCAAAGAAAAAGAAGAAGCCAAAGCCCGATACGAGGCTAAGCTCGCGGGCAAGAAATACTACAAGCCCCTGACGGGAGACGAGACCCTCACGCAGGCGCGGCGCAACGTCCTGGACCTCAGCGCGCAGGTCGGCAAGACGCAGCTCGTGCCCGCGGGCGCGGGTGTGGGCAAGAGAGGCCGCGGCGCGGGATTCTACTGCGAGCCGTGTGATCTCACGTTCAAGGACAACAAGCAGTTTGTGGAGCACTTGAATACGCCGCAGCACTTGGCCAACACGGGGCAGAAGACCGAGGTCAAGAGGGCGAGTGCGGAGGAGGTGAGGGAGAGGATTGAATGGCACTGGCAGAGGAAGCTTGATCTGGAAAAGGAGAAGGCGACGAGTTTGCAGGATAGGCTTGCGCTACGTGAGGAGGAGAATGCCAAGGAGGCGGAGGAGAGGAGGAAGAAGAGGAAAGACGCGGATGAAAGGAGAAAGACCGAGAAAGAGGCGGCGGAGAAGGTTAAGATGGAATATGGAGATGATGTGAGGATTGAGGGCGAGCATGATGAGGATGATATGATGGCTGCGATGGGGATTACGGGGTTCGGAGGGACGAAGAAGAAATAAGCTATGGTGGGAGAGGCGGGCGATTCCGAGAGCTGTACGATGATCAGGACGCGAGCAATGATACCCTTGTTTGGCAACACGATGGGAAGAGAGATCCCAATCTTCGAAGAGTCATCATGGACGTGTGAAGATGTGAATTGATTCGAAGCGGTGCGTCGGTTCTAGGTACGGTAAGTCTTCACTGTCCCCAACCACAAAACTGACATTCCTTCACCGAAGTTCTGTCGGTCTGTCTCGGTGAGATAGCTGACCGAAGCCCCTCAGATACCGGCACCTCGAACCCCTGCAGCTCGGGTAACTCCACCTTCGCATTGGCTCCGATTTCGACAACCAGCCCGCGGTCGGGTCCGTTTGCCGCCATCAGCAACCTCTCCACGCTGGATATTTCCAGTCCTTTCCCACCTCACTCGAACAAGGCACTGGAGCAAACGACGAAAATTCGAGCCAACAAAGCCGGCATCTGAACGACTGCCTTCTTTTCTCTTCAATTTACGTCAGTCGAAGCCGCATCGAATTATTTAAACGAGCATTACCCCACGCGCCCCTACTGTCAGCTTTCCCTCAATTATTCGTTCGTGACGTCTCCAAGCGCAAACAACTCGAGACTCGGTTTTGGTGTCACCGTCGATCGATCCTTGCCGCCCGACACATACACACGGACCTATACACAGACAGCTACAACGATACACAGATTAGAGCCTTGCGACACCATGGCATCGTCCTCTGCAGCTGCGGCGTCGCTGCTGGGTCGGCAGCTCAAGGAGATGCAAACGGGAAAGGACATTCCCGGTATCTCGTGCGGTCTGGTCAATGACAACAGCATCTTTGAGTGGGAGGTGATGCTCATGATCAGCGACGACTGCAAGTATTATGGAGGTATGTTTTCTCCCTTTTGCTTGCTTCTTGTTCAAAGTAGACTCGGCCCTTCGAGCTTACCAAGCTGGCTATGCCACCTCCCCCTCCAAACCTCACCTCCTGCTCGCGCGCAATAGGCTGACATACTTCTCTCCCCAAAAACAGGAGGCAACTTCCGCGCCAGACTCACCTTCCCGGCAAACTACCCCCTTATGCCGCCCTCTCTCACCTTCCAGACGCCCATCCCCTTCCACCCAAACATCTACCCGGACGGCCGGCTCTGCATCTCCATCCTTCACCCGCCCGAGGAGGACCAGTACGGCTACGAGGCGGCCTCGGAGCGGTGGAGCCCCGTTCAGAGCCCTGAGACGATTCTGCTGAGCACCATCAGCCTCTTCCACGGACCTAACGACGAGTCGCCCGCCAACGTCGAGGCCGCACGCATGTTTCGCGAGGAGCGCGAGGGCAAGAATAAGGACTTTCGGAGACGGTGTCGGGCTTGTGTTAGAGAGAGCTTGGGGGAGGATTGAGTGGAGTAATCCCGGGAGAATTGCTCCTTGAGACGTTGAGCCCCGGGTTTGATGGGAGTCATTGGGATGGCTAGGATGGAGAGTAGATGTGATCTATCTTGCGACCGGCTGGTTGGGTGATTTTCACGAGGCATTAACGAGAGAAGGGCGAAATCTTGACGAGCGTCCTGCATCATGGAGTTTGGAGATATCTACAGCATTGAAGCAGGCTGGGTTGGCAATCAAATTGACGCCTTTTTAATTCTTAAAGGAGTACTCAATATTGCAAGGGTATCTACGTTTGCACGTAAAGTTTGCATATCCTCTCAGGTTTCTTGGGGGCCTCAGCCAGTCCCTGTGGGTAAATGGAAACGATCATGTTCTTTGATCACCACCATCCACCCCCTTGGGCTCTGAGCTTCACGTAACGTAACTCGCTATGCCGTCGCACCTCTCTCCTGGGTTAGGTCGATGGCTTCTCCCTCAGCCTCGAGGCCTTTCGTTCCTAATCCTCTCGTTCTAACATCACCTCCCTCTCTACAGAGTGTGTTCTCCGTTGCCTCTGCCATCTGTCTTGCAGAGTACGACAAAACACGACGATCAACGTCTAAGAAAGAGCGCGCGATTTATTCCCACGCCCGCATGAGCCTCCAGCCTCTCCCCGTCTCCAAGCCCTAGAATTTCCAACGCTTGCCCATTTATTCGAATGGGCAAGCTGGCGTTTCCCCGGGACAAGCCATAGTCCACAGCTAAGCCCCTCCAACCGCGTCCGGTAGTAGGACTTACGCAGGGGGCGGTCGTTGAAAAGCCCTCCTTTATCCCGGGCGCCACAGTTGCCTACAGGAGATCAGGCATGTTGGTTGGAGAAGGGAGCTCCAAGCTGCGGTTTTGGGGTCGAACTGAAAGTGAGGATGGTGAGGTCAGTACTAGCGTATTCAGTCGGCGTGGCTTCTGGGCCTTTTCTTTTTGACCAGTGTTGATGATTGCGTCTTCTCCCTCAGGGTACTTTGAGGCCAGATTTGTGTTGGAGCATAGAGCTCCGTGTCCACGGTCTCGGTAGTGCCCCGAGTTCTAGTGACAAGTTCGATTTTGCCACGACGCCAACGACGACAAACACATGAATCGTACACGTACTGCAAAGAATCATACCTAGTAGCAACGAGAACGGCGAAAGACAGCTGGCTCGATTTTAAGCCTCATTTCTGAAAAAGTTCCAGCCGCTAGTCGTTGGTTCTGAATTCGGCGGCGCCGACATACCAAGCAGGCAGGAAACTTCCGCGGCTGAACATCCATGTCTCACACAAACACAAAGTAGTCAAAGCCGGGAGAGAAGGTAACTAAACTGCGCCAAAGCCGTTCTTGTCAATGTCGTGTTTTCCTGCCCCGCACTGAGCCCTGCCATCAGCCTACACCCCTTTGCTATCCAAGCTAATAGGCAACTAGGAGCTCGTAGCTTGTCGAATATCACGAGATTGTCCTCGCATCAACATACCCGTCACCCCACATAGTGGCTCAATTATTGGCCAGCATTGGCCAGCACCGTTGGGCGTGACCTTTTGTTTAAACCTTTAGCCCCCTTCAAGCTAGAACGACTTTTATCTCAGAGTTCATTGCGAGGGGACGAGGCTTAGCCAAGCCCACGCTCACGCCATCCCACTGACTGCTAAGAAGCCAAGAATCTGAATGGTCGTGATGAGGGTTCTTCTCCGTGTCCACACCGAGCTTAACTCGGTGTATCATGACGGAAGCGAGTTAGAACGGCCCGTTAGTCAAATCGGTCAAACGGAACAAATCCAGTCGTAAGACCAACCCCCATGCGCTTTAATAACCAGTCACGATGCGTCATTGTTGGAGCCGCAATGTCGGGTGCTACCGAACCAGTCCTCGTCTTACGAACCAGCCCTACGTGACTGCACGGCATTCTTAGTCTTGAGATAGAGTTCGCGCCAGAACAAGACACCTCCCCCCCGTTCAACTGCCTTGGCTGTGATGATCTCAGCGTTAAGCTTATTGCTAAGTCAAATTTGGGTTGATGTCCATCAGCGTGAGGTGGGTCCAGGCCGTACGGCCTACTTGCTTCGTGACATCGACATGCTCTGGAGATGATTGCAAGCTCTAGGCAACCACATTGGAACGTTGGTAGTTGAGGTGAACTAGTCAAGTACCACTAGCACGGAAGGGCCCGTCTGTATGGGGGCTTGGGGTAACAACCTAGGCGGTAAACCTATCACCTGGCAAGTTAGATCTGAATCCTATCAACGTTAACTGTCGAAAAATCTACTAGATCTACTCCGTCGCTATTATTTTGAGTCCTACCTACTAAGCTTTTCCAGACGATCATGCCAATGTCTGGCTGTTTGTGGCATCAAGAAAGCGATGCTGGAGGCTTGTTGCCCTGTATTGAGTATACGAGCCAATCCACACTCAATGAGATGACGTTACATGTAGGCAATCAGATGTAACTATCGGGCTCAACGCAGATTATCTTACGACTGAGACTGCCGTATTTCTGTTATATATTAGTTCATGAATCTCTCCCCATTTCCCGAGAACGATTATGAGCAGCAGCGTTCTCACCTGGAACTCGCAAAGTCAGAGCTGAAACATTCCCCTTCAACAGTCTTCCCTTACTTCCTATCGATCCTTTCTGAAGACTCCTTTTTGGAACCAAAACCCAACTATCGCAACGGTCGTAACGACAGCACTGAGACCTTTGAGCTCTTGCGTTCAGAAATCTTCCTATCCCCAATTCAACCTCCAAATATATCCACTGAGTATATGACGGATCCGATTACAGTCGCGGCCATCGGCGCAGCGGCTACGGTTGCTGTATGCCTTATTACGACAGCCGCCCCCGAGATCAAACAGGCCCTTCGATGCCGTAGGACCGGACGGCTGTTTCGCAAGCTCAACAAGGCCTTGCAATGTCCAGAAAGTAAGATTCAGCTAGTTCACTTGATAGTATCTGGCACATCATGCGGAGACTTAAGTTCAAACGCTGACGTGGCATGGTAGAGAACTATTGTGACATTACTCGTTTTATTGAAAAGATATACGACAGACAGCGCCGAGGAAGTTCTCTGACTGCTTTTCAACAGGCGGAACTGGCTCGTGCTGAACAAATTTGGTCTACTCTGTGAGGTGAGTCGATGGCTACTAGCTTCAAGATATCGTTTAATCGTATGCCGAGATTGACAAAACGTCTAGAGTTGAGTCATGACAAAGATCGTTATATGGAAAGGAACGTGTACATACTTAGTCATAGTCGTCTTTTATTCTTCTTTCGACCTCAACAATAATTACCTAATGAAAACTTCCCCCACGTTTTCCGTGTTTAACTAACCATGACGCTGGGTAAGTACGTAGATTGTGATAGACTGGAATTCGAACTTCTAGGCCGTTGCGTTGCAATCCACTTTGACTAGAGCCAGAAGAGATGATCGGATTGCTGAATTGAATTGTGATCAAAGAAGCGCTGAGTCGCTCGCTGTGTCACATTAAGACGTCCATCTACACCTTGGAATCCCGTATGGGGAATCTTAGAGTTCGGAGCCTACAAACTTGTCGAGGCCTTCGGACTCAAAACCCTCGAAATCATGGATCTTCTAACCATTTTCAGTGAGCGAGGCGCATCGTTTTTGTATCACAAGCCCAATTCTCAAAAGTCAGATGAACGTTTCCATTTGTTTGAGCACAACGTGTTTGCTATGGAGTCTCTATGAAAGCAACATCGTATGCTCGTCTCAGATCAGTCATGAGTTTGGGGGAATATGGTGCTCCCAGCGCGGTATACAAGCAACAAGCAGAAGAAGAAAGCAAAAGAGTACAATGCCGCTTGCTCAAGATTGATGAATCAAGGAAAATGGGTATCTGGGTATCAGAATCAGAAGCTCTTGACGATGGGAACGCGCTTTCCGATGATGCCGTCTGCCTCGTCAACCTGCAACTGCAGGGCGAGAGAGTCGGCGCCTTCGTACTTGCCCTTCTGCTTCCAGAAGAAGTCCTTGCCTGACTTGGTCTTGGCGCGGAATGTAGCTTCGGCCTCGACGTTCATCTTGAACATTGTGAAGAAGGAGGAGCCTACGCAGTACTTCTTGGGCGGGCACTTGAGGTTGATGGTGGCAGACCTGGTTAGGATCTCTCCCTCGGTGTCTTCCTCGGTCTAGATTGGTCATGCAATTAGCGAACTGTTTTGAGATATATCGATTGATGGAGACGATTGCTTACGGTGGTCTTCTGCACCTGCCAGGAGAACTCAGTCGTAACCTTACTCTTTCCAATGAGCGGGATGCCGGCCTCAGCTTCGACAGCAACGCGGCCACCCACGTTCCACTGGTTCGCAACGCTGAGAGTGTGCGACCTAGTGACGGCATCCATCGTCATGATCGTGATGATTTGCTCAGCGGTGGAGTTACGGTTGTCGACAATCTGGGATCCAACAGTCATGGTCTGTCCGGGGCCGGAAGGCATGATGTTGTCCGTGAAGCCAGAGTAAGCAATGTTGCTGATGGACACGGACTGAAGCTCGTCGAGGAAGTCGAAGCCGAGATGGCCGATCAGACCGATGTTGCAGTACTGCACGCGCATACGGCCGAGGATGCCGGATCCGACGGGGACCTTTTGCATCGGGGGAGGGTCGCGGAGGACCTGGCCCATGGCAGAGTAAGTCTTTCCGCTGGTGGTTGTGAAGTTGAAGCCATGGAAGGAACCACGGTTCTCGAGAACCCAGAATTCCTTGATGCGGTCGCCGTTCTCGAACTTGAAAACGCCGGCATCGGCCCAGCCTTCAAGTTTCTGTTGAATACCATGTCAGACTTATGGTTTCCAGTACCCTGGAGAACGAAAAGGAAAAAGAAAAAAAGAAAGAAAAAACTGTACTTACGCTGGTGATTGAACTTGCGTTTCCACTGCTGCTAGTAGCGTTGATGGCGCGCATGTTGGTAGACCCAGTGAAGAACTGAATAGAATCAAATGGCCCGTTGAGTTCCTCAGAGTGACAGTTGGCAGAGTTGCTATCAATA